ACTCTGATTGGATGATGAAAGTCAGCAGAGCTTCTGCTCATTCACTAAGCTCTGGAGCAACTGCACTTGCAAAGTGCACAGTCTAATTGCCTTTAGTAAATCTATCCCAAAGTGTTCACAACATGGACACACAATGAATGACTCCCCCCTAACTGTAAAAAAGAGAGTAAACTCAGAACTGGAGCATCATGTGACTGCAACTTTAGCTGAGTAAAAATGGAACTTAGATTTTTTTTTAAATTGAAATGCCAACAATAAGTTGGGGTGGGGGCAGGGGTGGACTGACCATTTTGAAACTCGGGCGCTGCCCGAGGGCCCGGGGTCAGTAAGGGGCCCCATGAGATGCCCCTGGTACCTTTTTCATAGGCTTTTTTGAGTTTTGGGCAAGGACACAAGGGCCCCATAATCCCCTATTGCCCGGGGGCCCTATGAGTCGTCAGTCCGCCCCTGGGTGGGGGGGGGGGAGTGATCCTAGGGGGAACGTGGAGATTAGCTTCAATCAAGAAGCCTTTTCAATCCATATACATAAATGAGGATGGTTATACAGCTAGAGTTATCGTTAGATTTTTTAAAAATTCTAATTACAAAATAATATAATTGTAATTATTATTTAATTATATTACCCTGTGTTCTCAGTACTCCACTGGTATGTACATCCAAACATAAACTGAATAGATACTAGCAAACATTATTAAGAAACCTAAATGCATGAAAAATTTAATAAAGTATGACTGGCAGTGCACTATTGTAAAATTGTTTTCTAATTTGCTGTCTTTTCTGTCTGATTTTAAATGTCTTTCTCAACCTTACTAAGGACAGTGGGTAATAAGGTGAGGGATTATATTATATTATTATCACATATTTTCAGATCTAGAAACTCATCATGTACTCAGTTGTATATATACTTTTGTTAGAGATGAGCAAATTGATCCTTGTGTCGATAGGTTTTGTTTATTTGTGGCTAATGGATATCTCAGAATAATTATCAATCGTTTTTTCAGACCTAAGTCAATTTTGTTTTTCAAAAAGTATGATCTCCTTCCCTAAAGCATACTATGGTGAATTAGGTGCACAGTCTGGTGTAGCCACATAACAAACTTAGGTGTCCGTTTATGAACCAGCGGTAATAGATCGCTGCTCAGTTCTCCGGCATTCTCGGAGAACACAGTTCTCCTGTGAATGCCGTTTATGAAGCATATGTAGATCAGTTCTCCAAACGAAGGGAGAACGGTCCACAAACGAAGGGAGAACGGTCCACAAACGAAGGGAGAACGGTCCACAAATGAAGGGAGAACGGTCCACAAACGAAGGGAGAACGGTCCACAAACGCTGGAGAACGGTCTACAAACGCTGGAAAACGGCTGATTTTACTATAATCTCGCGAGATTACGGTAAAAGATCAGTTTACTAAGCGGAGGTAAATTATCTCTGCTTAGTTTGCGGTCCGTCCAATTCTCTAGCTCTGGGCTGGAGAATCTGGAGGGAGAACACAGATCTCCAGTGAAGAGCTGAACATGTTCTCCTGAGTGTCATAAACTCTGAATGACCAGAGAATAGCTTCAATCCTCTGAATCGCAGCTATTCTGTGTCATAAAAGGACACCATTACCACAAGTGTGCATTAGCCCTGCAATACTAACATCAGTCTATATTTTTTCTAGGGGTATCTAGAACGGAATAAGTCTTTCAAAAGTACCAGAACAGTATGGGGAACACTAGGTTCTCTGCAACACTGAAGCCCACAAATTGGCAGATTAGGCACAAATTATGTGTACAGTGGGGAAAATAATTATGTGATCCCCTGCAGATTTTGTAAGTTTGCCCACTTACAAAGAAATGAAGGGTCTCTAATTTTTCTCGTAAGTGTATTTTAAATGATAGAGAAAGAATAACGACCAAAATCGAGAAAACAGACATGATATAAATGTTATAAATTGAGTTGCAGTTCAGTGAGTAAAATAAGTATTTGATCCCCTACCAACCAGCAATAATTCTGGCTCCCAGACTGGCTATGTGCTCATGTGTGTACACAGATTAGTCCTGTAAATATATAATATATATATATAATCCAGAAAAACACACATTATAAATGTTATAAATTGAGTTGCAGTTCAGTAAGTAAAATAAGTATTTGATCCCCAAGCAAAACATGACTTAGTACTTGGTGGAGAAACCCTTGTTGGCAGCACAGAGGTAAGATGTTTCTTGCAGTTGATTACCAGGTTTTCACACATCTCAGGAGGGATTTTTGTCCACTCTTATTTACAGATCTTCTCTAAATCCTTAAAGGTTTCTTGGCTGTCACTGGGAAACTCAAAGTTTCAGCTCCCTCCATAAATTGTCTATAGGATTAAGGTCTGAGACTGGCTAGGCCACTCCGTGACCTTAATGTGCTTCTTCCTGAGCCACTCCTTTGTTGCCTTGGCGGTATGTTTTGAGTCATTGTCACGCTGGAAGACCCATCCAAGACCCATAACACTGTTCAACAGGTAAAAAGTTTTGGGGCATAAAATTAGCTAATCTTACATAATTTTGGGGTGCTGAAAGCGAAAATGACCCTAAAAAATGTTGATTGGCTCTAGTTTCCATGATATATTCACCCATCTAATGATGTAAGCCATTCAAAATTATGATGCAACTTCAGCTGCATATTGCGCAATTGATACTGGTGACCAATAGAAAATGTCATGTATACTGAGATGATGCAATATTAGCCTTTAATTGCATCACTTCACTGCATAAAAGCTGCAGTATCTGTAGCTGATTGTAGTTCGTCTTTACATTTCGTTTTCTGCTTATATAGGCTACTCAGTAATGCCTCGAACTTGTGTGAATAAGCAGATCATTTCTGCTATATCTGCGGTGAAATTAACTTTTATCTCACAAAAAAGGAGGATAACAGGAATGATTAAGAAGAAGCCTACAACTTGTATTTTGGCTGCAAGATAGGAGACCAGGACAAGAGCTGGGCACCACATATATGCTGCAATTCTTGTGGGACGGCACTGGAGCAATGGTTGAATGGAAAAAAAGGCATCTATGCCTTTCGCTGTGCCAATGATTTGGAGAGAGCCAACAGATCATGTTAGTAATTGTTACTTTTTGTATGGTGCCTCCAATTTGTAAAAGGGCTAAATAAGAAGAAAAAGTTATCTGTGCACTATCCAAATATTCCATCGGCAATACGTCCGTTCCTCATGGAGAGGGGCTACCAATTCCTAAAGCACCAGAAATTCCTTCGTGGTTGAGTCAAGTGAGGAAGAACCTGAAGCGTGTAGTCACGTGCAGTTGTAAGAGTAGCCCTTTCCTCGAATACAAGAGAAAAGCCAAGAGAAGCAAAACCGACACAAACTGAAGACAAAAAACTAGGGAGAATCCTAAGTATTAAAATGATTCAACTTACGTTATGGCTATAATTTTTCTTGGTAATCCTATGCAATATATTTGTCAGGGCTCCCGGGTAATTGACCAGAGGTGTGTGACTGACGCAGGGAAACGCAGACTTCAGATATGTTATAAACAAAATTAATTTATTAACACTAACCATACAAACATAAACGCAGTGCAATACTAAAAACATAACACAGTGCAAACAAACCAACCAACCACCCACAAGAGATAACAGTACATACAATGCAAGCGTCGTCAGGCAGGCGGGTCAATATCAGTCGGGCAGGTATGGTACAGGGGGCAGCAAGAGGAGAATGGTCGGGGTCAACGGCCAGGTTCAGCAGGTAGCGGGCCTGGTACAGAGGGTCAGGCAGACGGAGAATGGTAGTCAGACAAGCCAGGGATCAGAGAGCAGGGTCAACAGGAAATCAGACAGGAACAGAGAGCAGGAACAGGATACAGGGCCCAAGAGAGAAAACACAACACCAAGGCAGAGTCTGCAGGTCTGAATGTCCCTTAAATACACCAGTATAATTAGTTCCAGGTGTTTGACTGGCTGCAAGGTTGAGTCTCTGATTGCTGGGAGCACCGCTGGCCAGCCCTGGTACTGCAGCTCATAAGGCAGCTGAGTCCCACTATTGCTGGCCAGTCCATTCCTGACAGTACCCCCCCCTCAAGGAGCGGCCTCAGGACGCTCCAAACAGTCCTAGCTGGGCAAAATGTTCCACCGCCCGGGTCTGGTAACTGGCGAGATATCAAAGACTGGCACATGGGCAGGACTCGGGCAGAGGCACATCGGGCAGGACTCGGGCAGCGGGCAGCCAGCACACCGGGGCAGAGGCACATCGGGCAGGACTCCCGGGCAGAGGCACATCGGGCTGGACTCCGGGCAGAGGCACATCGGGCTGGACTCCGGGCAGAGGCACTCCGGGCAGCGGCACACCGGGCAGAGGGCACATCGGGCTGGACTCCGGGCAGAGGCACATCGGGCTGGACTCCGGGCAGAGGCACATCGGGCTGGACTCCGGGCAGAGGCACATCGGGCTGGACTCCGGGCAGAGGCACATCGGGCTGGACTCCGGGCAGAGGCACATCGGGCAGAGGCACACCGGGCAGAGGCACACCGGGCTGGACTCCGGGCAGAGGCACATCGGGCAGGACTCCGAGCAGAGGCACTCCGGGCAGCAGCACACCGGGAAGAGGCACATCGGATTACCAGGCGAAGCAGCAGGCAGCGGGCCACCAGGCGGAGCAGCAGGCACCGGGCCCCCAGGCGGGGGGCAGCAGGCACCGGGCCCCCAGGTGGAGCAGCAGGCAGCGGGCCCCCGGGCAGAGCAGCAGGCAGCGGGCCCCCGGGCAGAGCAGCAGGCAGCGGGCCCCCGGGCGGGGCGACCGGCATCGGGCCCCCAGGCGGGGCGACCGGGACCGGCATCGGGCCCCAGGCGGGAGCGGCGGGCGCGCCGGGCCCCCAGGAGGGGCGACAGGCATCGGGCCCCCAGGCGGGGCGACAGGCGTCGGGCCCCCAGGCGGGGGGCGACAGGCATCGGGCCCCCAGGCGGGGCGACAGGCATCGGGCCCCCAGGCGGGGCGACAGGCATCGGGCCCCCAGGCGGGGCAACAGGCATCGGGCCCCGGGGTGGCGGGCGCCGGACCCCCCAGGCGGAGCGACAGGTCTCGGGCCCTCAGGCGGAGCGGCGGGGCGCCGGACCCCCCAGATGGAGCGGACAGGTCTCTCGGGCCCTCAGGCGGAGCGGCGGGCGCCGGACCCCCAGGTGAAGCGACAGGTCTCGGGCCCTGGCACGACAGTGGGCACCGGATCAGGTACGGATCGTCTGGATCAACAGCGGGCATCGAGTCAACTGGCCTAATAGGATCGTCAGGCTGGATCAGTTCATCATGCTGGGTAGAGGCATCAGGCTGGATGCCGGCGTCCGGCTGAGTAGAGGCTTCAGGCCGAGTAGAGGCTTCAGGCCGAGTAGAGGCATCAGGCCGAAGTAGAGGCTTCAGGCCGAAGAGAGGCATCAGGCTGAAGAGAGGCATCAGGCTGCGTACAGGCATCAGGCCGAAGAGTAGAGGCATCAGGCTGCGTACAGGCATTCAGGCTGAGTACAGGCATCAGGCTGAGTAGAGGATTCAGGCTGAGTAGAGGCTTCAGGCTGAGTAGAGGCATCAGGCTGAGTAGAGGCTTCAGGCTGAGTAGAGGCTTCAGGCTGAGTAGAGGATTCAGGCTGAGTAGAGGATTCAGGCTGAGTAGAGGCATCAGGCTGAGTAGAGGCATCAGGTGAGTAGAGGCTTCAGGCTGAGTAGAGGTTTCAGGCTGAGTAGAGGCTTCAGGCCGAGTAGAGGCTTCAGGCTGAAGAGAGGCATCAGGCTGCGTACAGGCATCAGGCTGAGTAGAGGATTCAGGCTGAGTACAGGCATCAGGCTGAGTAGAGGCTTCAGGCTGAACCACGGAAGGCAGGCTCACCGGTTTGGATACTGGCAGGATGGTATTGGTTGGAAAGAATTTTCGCTTTTTTCTGGTTTTAACTACTGGAGCACTGCAAGTAAACGCAGGTCTGCAAACGAATGGAGCAGCTGGAGACAGAAGAGCTGAAGGATGGAACAGAGGAGGGAGCAGTTGCTACAGAGGGCTTTTTTACAGGGTTAAAGGCAGGATAGGTGCAGCGAGTGGGAACAGGGGACTGACATGCGGTAGATAGCAGGGCAGGAGGAGCTGTAGGGAATGCAGGAATAGAGTTTTGAGGAAATAGATTAGAAGCAGGACTGGGTCTTTGTAAGCTGACTGAGGCTGGGTGCAACAAATTGTCCATGTCTGCAGTATGGGTTGAACAAAGCTGAGCTTACACAAAGCCTGTCTGACCAAAGACTGCACTGCATTTATACAATCTCTTAGTACCTGTGGTGAACATGTGGAATAACGCTCCAGAAAGTAACCCACATCATCCTCTAATAACCACACCAGGGACTCTGCCTGGTCTGCACTAAATGGCGGCAAAAATTCATCCTGCATTCGGGGGGTACCAGATGAAACCAAACTCTGCACAAACCTGAATCAATGGCTGCACCTCAGAGAACTCTGTGCCCTGATCTACTAGAACATGAGCGAGCCGTTATACATTCTAGCAGTTCATCCCGGGGATACTCCTTCAGAGTTTGATAAGCATACTCCCTGTCATCAAACACTAGCAGAGATAAATATTCAACCTCATCAAGATCCATCCTTCCCATCAACAAGCCAAGATGGCTTCCCTGTGCAGCCACTTCTGGTCAGGATTGGCCTTGGTGTAATGTCAGGGCTCCCGGGTATGACCAGAGGTGTGTGACTGACGCAGGGAAACGCAGACTTCAGATATGTTATAAACAATGTAATTTATTAACACTAACAATACAAACATAAACGCAGTGCAATACTAAAACATAACACAGTGCAAACAAACCAAACCAACCACCCACAGATGACAGTACATACAATGCAAGCGTCGTCAGGCAGGCCGGGTCAATATCAGTCGGGCAGGTAGGTACAGGGGGAGCAAGCGGAGAATGGTCGGGGTCACAGGCCAGGTTCAGCAGGTAGCGGGCAGCGTGGTACAGAGGGTCAGGCAGAGGGGAATGGTCAGACAAGCCAGGGATCAGAGCAGGGTCAGCAGAGAATCAGACAGGAACAGAGAGCAGGAACAGGATACAGGGCCCAAGAGAAACACAACACCAAGGCAGAGTCTGCAGGTCTGAATGTCCCTTAAATACACCAGTATAATTAGTTCCAGGTGTTTGACTGGCTGCAAGGTTGAGTCTCTGATTGCTGGGAGCACCCGCTGGCCAGCCCTGGTACTGCAGCTCATAAGGCAGCTGAGTCCCACTATTGCTGGCCAGTCCATTCCTGACAATATTATGCCGTTTAGGCTTTGTTATGTAGTCAATATCACTTGCTTTATATTTGTGGAAAGACTTCTATCTATATAATTATTGTGCATTATGTAGTCATTACGCCTATAGTAGAAAACTTTCCGTTTACAGAAAAACTAGAGCCAATTGACAAATTTCATTGTTATATTTGAACTCAGAATGTGAAATTCATTAAGAAATGGATCATTTTGTTTCCAAAACTGGCAAAAAATAAAAATTTGTTGAAGAGTGTAATCAGTGCTCTGGCTGAGGGAAGAATGTTCTCATCCAATATTTTACAATACATGGCCCTGTCCATTGGCCCCTCAATGTGGCAAGCCCAGCCTGTACCTTTAGCAGAGAAACAGCCCCAAAGTATAATGTTTTTCACCTCCATGCTTGACTGTAGAGTTGGTGTTCTTAGGGTCATAGTCAGCATTTTTCTTCTTCCAAACACAGCAAGTTGAGTTAATGCCAAAGAGCTCAATTTTGGTCTCATCTGACCACAGCACTTTCTCCCAATCCTTCTATGCATCATTTATGTTCATTGGCAAACTTCAGGCCTGTACGTGTGCCATCTTGAGGGAGACCTTGCGGGCCCTGCACAATTTCAATCCATGGCGGCGTATTGTGTTACCAATAGTTTGATGACTGTGGTCCCAACTGCCTTGAGATCATTCACAAGCTCCTCCCATGTAGTTCTGGGCTGATCACTTTTCTCATGATCATCCTTACCCCATGAGGCAAAATCTTGCATAGAGCTCCAGACCGAGGGTGATTGATGGCCATTTTGTATTTCTTCCATTTGTGAAAAAATCGCTTCAACAATTGTCTCCTTCTCATTCCAGCGTTGTGCAGGTCTACAATCTTGTCCCTGACATCCTTTGACAGCTCTTTGGTCTTGCCCATGGTGGTGCCCAAGAAAGAGATTCTGTGGGCAGGTGTCTTTTATACACATACCGAGTTGTCATTAGGAGCACCTTCTTATATTTACAGGACTAATCTGTGTACCACATGAGCACATAGCGAGTCTGGGAGCCAGAATTATTGTTGGTTGGTTGGGGATCAAATACTTATTTTACTCACTGAACTGCAACTCAATTTATACATTTATATTTAAATGTTTTCTCGATTTTTGGTTGATATTCTGTCTCTATCACTTAAAATATACCTATGATAAAAAGTTAGACCCTTCATTGCTTTGTAAGTGGGCAACCGTACAAAATCTGCAGGGGATCAAATAATGATTTTCCCCACCTTCATAGGTTGCTATAGCTATGCCTAGTGAACTCTTAAAATCTCCTGCATAATCAAAAAAAGGGACAGTTTAAAAAAAAAAAAAAAAAGAACTTTCTTGGTACCCAAGGACTACACCGACAGTAAAAGAAAATACAAATATGTTACAAATTTCATAAGTAAATAAGTAAAAACATCAATACAAAGTTTAAAAATATACACTTCACTTCATCTCTTCGATAATATACAGGTCCCTCTACATTAATACATGGAATTGGCTCAAACTGTGTTGCCCCAGGTCATTCAAGGTAACAATAGACCTTTGTAACAGATACCAAAAGAGCTGATAGGGGGAATCCAATAACCCTGACATTTTGCATAGACATCTACTTCAGGAGTATGGAGGAATAGATATCTAAATGAATATATACAAAGGTTATAATGAGAATATGGACACCTTGTACCCACGTCAAATACAAATAAATTGCATTAAAAAAAATAACATATCATTTACTAAAATCATCCACAACTGGGGGGGGGGGGTATGAGTTTATGAGTGTACTCTGAGGTGAGCATAAGTAACAGGCCACTATGCACAACAAAGAAGCAATTAGATAAATATAATAAATAAATACAAATAATAATAATAAATTACTAACTAATTGAGTAAGCAGAGAGAAAGGGGATAGGGTAGATTAACCCCTCGCCTACCGGGCACTTATACCCCCTTCTTTACCAGGCCAATTTTCAGCTTTCAGTGCTGTCGCACTTTGACAATTGCGCGGTCATGCAAAATTGTACCCATATGAAATTTTTATAATTTATTTCTCACAAATAGAGCTTTCTTTTGGTGGTATTTAATCACGCTTGGCACTTTACTTTTTGCGCTATAAACAAAAAAAGTGCAAAGAATTTGAAAAAAAAAAAAAAGTTTGTTTCTATTATAAAATTTTTCAAACAGGTAATTTTTCTCCTTCACTGATGTGCGTTGATGAGGCAGCACTGATGGGCACTGATAGGCGGCACTGATGGGCACTGATAGGCGGCACTGAAGGGCACTGATAGGCAGCACTAATGAGGTGGCACGGATAGGCGGCACTGATAGGTGACACTGATGATGGGTACTGATAGACAGCATTGATAGGTGGCACTGACTGGCAGCACTGCTGGGCACTGACTAGCACAACCGCTGGGCACTCACTGGTGGCACTGACTGGCAGCACTGCTGGGCTGCAATGATGGGCACTGGTGGGTACAGGTGGGTGGCACTGGTGGGTGGGCACAGGTAGGTGGCACTTCTGGGCACAGGTGTGTGACTGCTGGGTGGCACAGGTGGGTGCACTGCTGGGCACAGGTGGGTGCACTGCTGGGCACAGGAGGGTGCACTGCTTGGTGGCACAGGTGGGTGCACTGCTGTGCACAGGTGGGCGGAACTTGTGGGTGGCACTGCTGGGCACTGATTATCAGTGCCCTGATGATCGGTGCCGATCCCCGCTCTAACAACTGCCGGTTCTCGGCAGTACTTTCCTCACGATCTGACAGCGTGAGGAAAGTGCAGCCGAGAACCAGCAATTGCATTTCCCAGTGATCAGCGTGTCATTGGACACGGCTGATCACGTGGTAAAAGGCCGCTCTGATTGGCCTTTTACCACATCACGTGATCAGCTGTGTCCGTAGGACACAGCGATCACGGAGATCGCCGGGTGCGTGCCCGCCGGGGGCGCGCAGGAGAGCGCGTTGTGGGAGGACGTCATATGACGTTCACCCAGAACTGGCCGGCCGCAGTGTGGCCCGTCATTCGGTTATCTGCGGTCGGCAAGTAGTTAAGAAAGAAGGGGTGGGAAGGAGGAAAGAAAGGGGAAGGGGGGGACTAATTAACCAAAGGGAAAAAAATGGAAAAAAAGCAACTGTAAGTGATATGGAAGTCGTAAAAAGCCCATCCAATTATAAATACCATTATATAAAAAAAAACTCACCTATCTTTTACTTATTCAATCATCATAAAGT